AGTAGTAGTAGTAGTAGTAGTGTGTGTGTGTGTGTGTGTGTGTGTGTGGGGGGGGGGGGGGTTTGTGAGGAAAATAAACAAGAAGGGATCCTATTCATTGAAAAGGGTTGCAGTTTTTATTAGCGATTTCTAGTTTAGAGACATGGATAGAGCAAGTGGTCAAAGGAGATAGGGGACCCATTTATTGAAAAGGGACTAGCCTTATAAGAAAGTGGCAATTTAAAGAGTGTCTGTTGGCCTGAAATGCCTATAGTTAACAGATGATGCAATCTAAACTTAAGCAATTGTAGTTCAGCGCAGAGGAATATCCCCAGACAGCAAATGAGAATTCCTCAAATCACAACTAAGGACTACAATTTGGAACTTGCTAGCAAATTTCCAGATTTGGTAATTGAACAGTGCCTTTAAATTATACAAAAGCTTCAAAAGAAAACTATGACATGACATGATTGAGTTTTGTCGTCTACTTAAAAATTGGCACTTGTTAGGTGGTTGAGTTGAGTCACAACTTGAACGATTTCAGAGGCTCTGGCACAAGATTTTTAACATGGTTTGATATGCTATGTGTGATCACTTGCATCATGTCACTGTTGTCCACTATATATCGGTTCCCCTTGCATGCGCCAATGTTGACTTGTTTGAGTGGTTTGAATCTCAGTGAGGGACATGATCTTAGCTCAATCTTCCCGTAGTTTGTCCTTTTCTGAAATTTCTTCTCTTCTGGAAGGGTTGTTTATGGAGCTGAGTGGGAAGGATGTGAGGGTTCATCTAGTTCCTCAGCCAGTGATCAGTTAGAGGTTTGTGTATTGTGGACGGAGGGCGATTTGAGTGATGAATATGGATTTCATTCTCCTAATGGCTTTGAATTGTACTAAAGGAGACTCATGTTAGTGAAGACTGCTCAGTTCTTTATTTTTAATGGTAGGTGTGGATGCAAGGGCTTCATTGGATGCTAGCAATCATATTTAAGTTGGAGTTCTGAGATGGGGCTATATGGGGCCTTTTGCAGAACATTGGCATAGGTTCCGTAGGTAGGACGGGGCTTTGGCAGCAGTTTAGGACACACAAAGCATGTATCTAAAAGAGAAGAGAAAGTTAATGTTGGAGCATCTGGCACAGTGTATACAACATATCTGAAAATTCTATTCATGTGATATAAGTGTGCAATCCTGCTTTCACTAGCTATCTTGATTCCTAGCTAGTTGGCCTTCTGTATCTATGAATGTATAACCAACCTTATTTTTCCAATAAATATCATGGCCCTAAAAGACATATGTCCAACTTTTGACAAATATTCCATTTTTGCCTTGATATTGTGACAACTGCTTTCTTTTTTCTCATCTTCATTGTTCTTGTAGGCGTTGATAAAGCTGGAAGATAGCAGACTCGTTGAAACTGTTGGCATACCAGTTGAAGATGATGATGGTAGTTACCGGCTTACTGCTTGTGTCTCATCACAGGTAGCCAAAGAATCAAACTATGTACCCATCTAGTGGGGTAGGTCTAGTGATTCTAGACAAAGAGTGATGCACATTATTTCTTGACTGCTCTCTTTCTTTCTCTGATGGATAGCCATTCTCTCTTTTGTTTCTTCCCTTGACATAATCTGTGCAGGTAGGGTGCCCATTGCGCTGTGCATTTTGTGCCACTGGCCAGGGAGGATACTCAAGGAACCTTCAGCCTCGTGAAATTGTTGAGCAGGTTGTCAAGAAAAACCTCAAATACGTTGTTTCCTGCTGCAGTACCGTGAACTAGCTGAAGCTGGCTGAGTACTTTTCTCTTTCTTCCTTGTCTATTTTCTTTGATCTTAGTTTCAATTTTTGTAGGTCTTGACCATAGAGGAGCTCTTTAAGCGTAGGGTGACAAATGTTGTGTTCATGGGAATGGGAGAACCAATGTTGAACTTGACGTCCGTTTTGGAAGCTCATCGATGTTTGAACAAGGTCCATTTCTTTGACTTATATGAATGAAGCTATTACAATATGATTTGTGTAAGATTTTTTGCTTTCTTTTCAGAGAATATTATCCTATCTATATATTTGTGGTATTTATAGACAACCAACCAATTGATGTGATTAGATCTGCATTTAGCTCAAAATTTGAAACTGACCAACCTTGTTGGAAGCTGGTGTCTGTTCTGTAAACAATGTTGCAATACACCTTAAACAAATTCACATGTCTTAGGGAGCCATGTAATGTTTTCTTTTGTGAAGTTACGATCTATACAATCAATTCATAAAAGAAATCATGTACATCATGGGGCTTCTGCAATGAAGAATAAAAGAGACATATGTGGCCCATGTGCTTTTTTTTTTTCCGGGGGGGGGGGGGTGTTTTGTCGAGACAGATAGGTTGGTCCTCAAAATATGTGAATCTCTACTGCCTTCCATTGAGCAGAAGAGTCATCCTAATCAGTTTCTGTCCTCAGCACATGATGGAAACTCACCACTCTGGCTTTGGAGGTCCATAATATCTTTCATAGCATCTGCCATCTTCCAAAGGTCAGGATGATCACTGCAGTAATCCTTCTATTCCACTTGTGAATACTCTTATGCAATCAAAGACCATTGACATATCTGGACTGTTTACCTTCTGGAACTTTTTATTCTACTTGTTCCACAGGCGCAATAAGATTACCAAAATAACCATCATTAATGTGTCTTCCCTTTTTAAGAAAAGGTATAGTTACAGCTTACTGATATGACTGACTATAGCACTGGGCATGGTCCACCCAAACTCGAAACTGGAGAGAAAGTATAGCCAAATGGAAGGGACAAGGGTGCAATGGATAAAGAGATGATCTGCAGTTTGCTCTCTTGGCCCTTGTAGCACATATTCGATGGAGTTTCAATGGTATGAAAGGGCATACCCTACTGTTGCCCCCTCAACTCTAGCTACCACTAACAACCCTGAATGGCCAGGGTCACGTTTCAAATTGCCGTGATTATGAGCTTTAATGCCCCACCTGTCAGCCTATTCTAGCTCTTCTTCCCCTCATTTTTTGCCCCTTAATACACACACACATGCATGCACGCACTCACTGTGGTGCACATCTACACCCACCCAACCACACACACTTCTTAACCACTCAAGACGTCATTGACTCTTCCCCCCTTAAACCCCTTCTTGACCTTTATTAAAGAGATCTGAGGCAACCTCATCTTGCTTTTAAGTGCCCCTTCCTCCCAATTCTGCATAACACACAACTATGTCACTATCTTCCTTTTAGTAAACAACCCAGCCATCTACGAGCTTGGGTGTTCCACAAACTTGAAGATATCTGCTCAAATTGAGTGGGATTTTGGCACCAAACTAATTTGGCGCAATTTTGTAAAACTTGAACTCAACTTGGGATTCAACATGGTCCCTAACCGAATCTACTCATTCTAGTGATTAATTTAGGGCAACGAAGTTTATGTTTAAGATTTATATCATTTATATATTGCCAAACAATTAGTGGCTTGATATTGAAAGGCGAGGATCGATTATGTGGAACCTTACGGACCCTAACAAGAGAGGATCAATACTGTTTAAGTTTGCAGTCACTTCCTGGTCTTGTTGTCCATGTGTGAGTCGAAAGTTTTTGTTTCAGGGCTTCTTTATTGTTTTAACTTATCATTCTTGGGTCCAAGCAATAGTTAAGTTTTAAAAATTCCATTTTCTCTGTTTCAACCATAGTTAGCAAGTCTCCATTTAAAGCACAATTTTTTCACAAAATTTCCGATTCTTTAAAATCCATTAAGAACTCCGAGTTTCTCAAAAGATATTCAAAAAATTGCGTTTTTTTAATGGAACCAATATAAATCTGTATTTTATCTTTTTTCAAAAAAAAATTTCAAAAAAACTTCTTCCCTATAACTTTATCTCTTCACTTTATTTAATATCTTTGAAATTTGGTTTAGAGATTTCATATTAAAAGTGAAAGTAAATTGAGAATCTCGATTTAACTAATTTCCATCAAAATTTCCTACAATACGTTCCAATATAAAAAAGTAGTCCATCAAAGTGACCATATATCTTAAAATAATAGTTAGAGTTAGATGAAGAATAACTGAATGAAAAATCTTTTTATCCTCTAAACACAAAACATCGCTATAAAGAGTAAGAGAGGGATTCAGTGAAACCTAAAGATTTAGGCAGCTAGGAATTTATAGAGAGCTTTGAATATTTGGATTTGCTTAAGCATTTAGCTGCTTTGTTTTTGCATACAGAAGTTTGATTGATTTCACCGTTTCTTTTTTCTTTTTGTATATATTTCATTAGTGTATCTAACATAACCAAAAAAAATAAAAATTGGATGGACCTCTATTTTACATTTTTGAGTTTTTGTGTTTTAGTTAACTGCAATCCTATACTAAAGGTTATTTTTGTTTTTTTTTTCTTCCAATGATAATCCCATACCTTGGGTTCCATTCTTGTTTGTTTTCCTAATGTAGTTCTTGTGTTCAGTATTGGTTTTGTAGTTGTTGGTTGTATGGTCCCAATAAATCTATCATGACAACAGAGTAAGCATTGTTGTTGTATTTATTGAAAGTTCAGACAAAAATTTGTCAAGTATGACTCTTACGACATCAGGTAAGGACATAAAAATTATAGTTCAATAGTTTTAATGTTTTCATACGATAAACATTAGTCATAATCCTGCATTTTGTTATCATTATATACCCAATTTTTTAACTCCGTGTTTTTGAGCCAAATCCGAAATATTCCTGATTCTCACTTGACTAATTTTTGGTGATCCATATTTTTTACAGCCAAGTTTTGCCTCCAACTTTTTAGGGCAAAATCGATTGATTGCCAATGTTTTGGTTTGCCGATATATTGTTCCCCGATTTACTAACGACTTTCAACTACCCATTTTAAAACTCCAAGGCCAGTGAGCAAAGTTTATACTTACCTTGAGCTTCCATTATGGCTTGCTTCTTGTCCTGTGGCTCTCACGGACCTTGCCAAACATTTAAGAGCCGTCCTCAGGATCTCACATGTAACATATATGTGATGGTATCTTCTGCAGTACCACACTGCTGAGAGAAGGTACGCTGCTATCTTTTTTTTCTTATATTGGAGTTTCAGTTTCCGAACTTGTATACTTATCTCTAAAGTTACTGAAAAGATACACCAACTCTCTTTCTATATATCAATGGGAGACTGGTAATCAACTATCAGTATGTTTGTAGGGAGTTTCTAGGAGCCTCTGATTATGGCATATTATGTTGCCTGTTTGCATGGTCCAGTATATGTGGTTTTACTTATTGACACCAAATATAATTCACATCCTTCAATGGCGTGTTTGCATGACTCAGGTGCTATTAAAATGGGCCATAAAATCTCACTCTTTATAGTTCTTTTGGAACATATTCTGCACATCACTTGAATTTAATGGGGTTGAAAACCAACTAGGCTTCACTCCTAGACACATCCTCATCTCACATCCGTGCTCTTGTAATTAGTGGTATAGGAATAATTAGTGGTGTATGAACTTTCTTATATCTACGTTATGGACGTGCATACTTTTTGAGATTGAGATGCCTATGAAACATGATATGTGGTCTATATCTTCTCACATATAAGATTGAGGGTTAGTTTTGCTTGTAGTTACACCTAAAACATCATTTAGTACCAAAATGATGTTTTTGGTCATATTTTGCACCATCCAAGCATAAATCAACTAGCATTAATTATGCATTGTGTATTATACTGTGACCAAACTAGCTTCTGTTATGCATTATTTGGCTTGGTGTTAAGCGTGTATTTGTCATCATTGGCTAATTCATACTGCCAAGCATTGAAGTCCATGTTCACGTGTATTAATATCTTTTTTCTTTTTGAAGGATATTCAAATTGCGCAAAGGATGATTACAATTTCCACAGTGGGTGTTCCAAACACAATACAGAAATTAGCTTCACACAAACTTCAATCCACTTTGGCAGTGAGGTATGCCCATAACGCTCCTTACAATTGGGTGTGTAGGCGGGAGGGCGGGCGCGCATGTGTGTGTGTGTGTGTGTGTGTGTGTGTGTGTGTGTGTGTGAGAGAGAGAGAGAGAGAGAGAGAGAGAGAGAGAGAGAGAGACAGGTAGTTGGTAGGTCGGTACTAACTAGTTGTTCGTTTGGTTCGGTCGTACGTAGTAGTTATTTACATACGTAGTCGTCTTTCGTTCGTACTACTA